AGAATTGATGAATGGTTGCTGGTTGCGTTTATTGGGATCTCAAATTCTATGAGGTTTGGGTTGAGATTTGGTCATTTTAATATTGGTACAAATATTGCATCCGCAAAGTCATCAGGGATGACTGTTTTAACAGTTCAATTAAAATTGAATGAACGCTGTCAGTACCAAGAATATCACACTTTGCAAACAATAACTGTTCTGACGTTATTCCGTCAAGAACCAGGGAGCAGTTTTTTTTTAGAAGATTAATATTGTCTGACACTAAATTGATGTTATAATAACCCTGGAAGGGGAGTTACATAGCATGTCATGGTAAGAGTGAATAATAAATCTGTATGGAAGGCCTTGTTCATTAAACTAGAAGTGTGCTGAAAGTTTCCGCCACTGACACCGTATTGTGACAAACAACGAAATGACCAAATCCCACATGTGAGCCAAAATAAATTCCATTCAATACACAATGTGAGTGCAACATATTTAAACATTACTTGCGACTTCCTTGTTCTGATCTCTTGATTTTCTGTACAGAGCCTTCAGCTTCTTCACTTTGTCAAAACACTCCTGGCCACTTCTTTCTATCCTCCTAAACAGTGTATGTGGCATTGCTTGCCTTCTTCAAGCTGATGCTGTACATCAGCCTCCCTTCAAATGTTCAACAATGTGACTTTCCTGGGGATTCCAGTTATCTGACTGCTGGTAAGGCATGTTTACAGAAAGTGGTAGCTGGTAGCGTTGTTGTCTTGTTGGGTGCCTTCTTTGAACTGAAGTTGGGAACCACCAGCTGACCCCAAGACCAATGAGCGTGTGTACCGAGATTTAATGACTGTGCCCCTGCAGAGACGACATCTTGTAGTGTTCACAAATATAATTCCCAGACATGTAAATTAATTGTGCACTCGACTTGTTTTATGGCCTTATCTGTAGTCATGTAACTTAAGTGGACGTGTGCAATTTGAATAATTAAAATTAGTATGTACCGCCAAATACTGCAGCACAGAATCCACCTATAGATAAGAAATACGTATAAAAGACGTCTAGAAATAATATTGGGGGTCAGAAGGAAGAAGACTCGAAGGTGACCGCTCGACGGAGCTATGGGAGACGGCTTAGAAGTTGGAGGCTTCACGTATAGAACATGTAGTTAGAGATCGTCAACCAATAAACCATTAAACTGGTCATTATGTGGACTTGGGTTTTCTTTGCGCGACCTCACGTAAATCTGACACGAACCGTGGAATTTTGAATTGCGTTATCCACTGAGTAAGTCTAAAACGTAATGTCCTATTTCGAGCCCACGCTTGAATTAAGCGTTCTAAATTATATAAGTTTAGGACATTCATCTCATATGTATATGTAAAGGTACATAACAATCTGAAGAGGTGTGCAACAGGCAGAGAGACCATATCAGGTTAAGAGGGAGGTCTGCCTTTCATGTAGGGTGGGCCACATTTTAGCCATGGAGCAGTTAGTACTCAAATATTTTATTCTGAATGGCACCAGTTTGGTATTTTCAAGAATTTCGTGAGGTACCGGGTTCTCTACTCCTTAGACTTCCTGGCCCAAGAAGCACTGTTCACACAGAAAGATGAGAAATATTTGTCCAAAGAGAATTCACCTCTTCCTATTATGGTCCTTTTCACATTTGTGTACTGACTCTCCACAACCTCATATATAAGTGCCAGGATGCCATGCTGTTTCCATGGTGTTTTCATCTTTAGAACATGATTCATAGCTTCACAGTTGTTATTTGTCCAGTGAAGATGTGCCCCTTGGCTGAGGATGGTTTGTAAATTTTCCTGGGCATAAGCTTTCTTGATGGCAGTTAGAATTCGGGTAATCTTCCTGTCACAGTATTAAATTGTTCTTTGTCTTTGTTGTTTTCTGCAATGGAAAACAACGTCTGACACACAGAAAGTAAAGAGAGTAAGTCAAGAAAACAAAGGAAATTTGAGGGTTAAGACTATTAACCAATGAAAAGCAAGAACATATAAAGACAGAAAATAAGGAATGGGAAAGAAAACAGGATAGTTTGAAAAAATGAAACAGAAATAAATAACCAAATAAGCATATGAACTACTACTACATTCCTAATTCCAACAACATTCTCTGCCTGTTATATCTGTCCAAAAGTAACATTTTGTGATCAATTAATTTCCCAAAATTACTTACTGCCCTTTCTATGTTGAAGGTATAGTAACCATTAATTTCATTTAACTTTCCTGTGTATTGTTAAATTTCTAATCAAGCCCCGTATTATGTTGAAAACACTCTTATAGGTAATGTTGAATAGAGTTTGTGTTAGCTTTTTTTTTTTTTTTTTTTACTACAAAGGCCAAAATTTCTTAAATCGTTTCTTTTTCTTCTTCGTTATATGGGATAGGATAGGCCCTGTCGCCAATGAAAAGTCGTTATACTTCATAACCTGACTGCATTATGATTCTCAATTCTGATTCTTACATTTCTGGTTTGTGCAGCCTTAACATGATTACTACCTCCAAGTGTGTATTGCCAGAAAGTTAAATAACCTGTCACAGTTTGTTGTTATTGTTTAAAAACACACAACTGTGTAATAGATTTAAGGTTATTTATTTCACCTGTAGAAATAGAGAATGAAGTTACAGTATTTGCACAACTGCTCTGGTCAATTACAAAAGAGAGAGTGTACATGTTACAATGAATAAAACACGTAGTTTAAACAAAATAACTAATCAAATAAATACACCGTTTAATAATATAACTAAATAAATAATGCATCATGGCAATTGAATTTGAAATAATTAGCTCACCTGTAGAAATAGAGATGAAGTTATAGTATATGTACGACCGCTCTGGTCAATTACAAAAGAGAGTGAAAAAGGGCGCAGCAAACGACTAGGATCACGTGAAGACGATTCTTACATTGTGGGAGAATTATCCAATCAATGCCTGCCAAAGATGAAGAAAGAAAGAAAGGTTTATCCTTTAGACTGAGAGTAGCTGCGCTTCAAATAGTTTCAAAGCCAGGAGCAGTGGTTTTCAAATATCCCAGCACTTCTTTTCTATCCTCAGACTTGTGCCAGGGTAGGGAATTTGCAAGCTAGGTTTCCCTAATATCATTGTAATGAGTCATCTTCTGTCATCCTTGGTGTTGAGGATCTTTATCAAAGATCAAAAACAACATGAGTGGGAATGAAATAAAAATAAATCTAATGTGACGTAAAATACTGTACAAAATGTTGAATTAAAACAGATATAAATGGAAAGTTGCTGCTTTAAAGTCACTGAGCTCTGAGCTGGTAGATTGTGCTGCTGCTGAGCCGAGGTATGTAAATTGTACGCTGCTACTGAACCAAGGTACGGTAGATCTTGCCGCTGCTATCGGGTCATGAGCCGTGGGCTGCTGACACTTGGATTCTCCAATCTTGTCCAGTAGGTACATGGCTGCATTTTGCTTTAAATATTTCTGGCAACTTGCGACTTTGGAAGTTATGAACCCAAACAAGGCAGCTTTGCTGGTGACCTTTCCGTCATCAGGTCCAATTACTGACAGAAATCCAGCAAGCTCTCTTCCTATGGTGGAAAAGAAAGATGGATAAGTTTTCCTGTCTGAGTTCCTGTGAATGAGGGCTTATGAAAATGGGATAAACATTTGTGTTGGACTATGCGGAAGTACTTTATTGATAACCATAGTGACATGAGACTGTCCCAAATTAAAAGTTTTATCAACTCCAAGAACAGGGCCTAAGTGACATAAGTCCTGAATTTGATTGTCTGTGTAACAAATGATTGTTGGATCCAAGGAATGTGCCTAAATGACAAATGTGTTTCAAGTCCTCAGTCTGATTGACTGTGTAGTAAATAATGTGTGGCACATTATTTTTTGCTCTTGGATGTTACAGTAATTTCCCTCACAAATACACTGTGCTGAATCCAGCTATGTAGATTGTAGATGATTGCTGCTAAGTTTGCTGATACCTTCACATTCCTCTTTAGAATTTCATAGCTTGTACTGTATTTTTTAGTGCATATTTGTTGCCTCGTGAATAATTTGATCGTAGTGTGTTTGGGTTCTCCAGGGTTGCTGAAGATTGCTGAAGGACTTTCGTTTGGGCTTTGATGTATCCCCTTGTAGATGCTTTAGTTTCCATGTTGGGCTCTTCCAGGACACTTGCCAAAGTATTAATTCCACCATGGCAACTTAAGGTCTTTCCTGCATCCATCTTTTTTTAATTTTTTTTTACACTGTGTCTGCCTTCAGGTTGGTGTAGTACCTAATAGATGGCTGTCAGATTGCTGCACCAAAAACTTTTCCTCCATACTTGATCTGTAGAGTCTCAATGTTGACTGAAATATTGTTAATGAGAGAACAGTTTCATTAGCTCTGTATGTATAAATTCAAATTATTGTTTTTCTTTTTATCACATATAAAAAGAAAAACAATAATTTGAATGAAATATTGTTGTTTTGTTGTTGGAAGTTCATATTGGCAGTGAATTGTAATGTTTTAATAGGCAAAGAAAAAGGGTGAGAGGCAGAAACCGAAAATGCACTTACGATAAAAAATAACTTTTTTTCTCCTCTGCTACATACAGCTTTTTCCACTCATTTGTAATTGAAGGCTGCTGGTCTCCTTTAGTGCAAATGCTTGGAAAATGCAGAGTGGGCTGTAATTTCGCTGTCTCCATCAGAATGATCTTCATCATAGATATATTTTGCTCCACTGGCAGCAACCCCTGCCGATGTCACAATTTAGCTGTTAGGCTTGATGGAGCTAATTATAATCACATTTCCAATGTCCATTACTTGAATATTACTTGAATATTGGTACTAGTTTTACTTTTACTGGCAATGTAGAATCTTCTGGCAGGTAAAGCTACATCCCACCTGCTTTCATTGTAATCTACATGTTCTGTAAATCACTGTTGACCAGAGAAGATATTAATATTATATTAGATTCTGGTCATCAGTGGTCAAGTTGTTGAATGTCTTGTTTAGTTAATGTTTATCTTTTTCTAGCTCACATGCGGTTCTGACAGTGTCATGGGTCACAGTAGTGGCCTGCTTGATGTGGTCAGTTTTTGACCCAAGGTGGAGCAGTGGTCGTTACTTCCTCCAGGGCACCCATCACCATGACATTTAGGGGACTTATAGCAGGTAATACTCCAAGATAGCAGTTCATTTTGTTTTACAAGTTATGACTTTGGTATTGTTCTATAAGTGACAAAAGGTAATTGGTGTAGAGCAGCAAACACCAATTAACTCATTTTGTGTTTCCTTTGGGTTTCCTTAATATTTGTAATAATTCAGAATTTCAACAGGTACTTTCCCTCTCCTCTCACATTTCTCCTCACAAAAATACATTTCAACTGGTTACAGCCAACTGATATCCTTATCCCATATTTTACCAGATGTTAGGCAATTTGTGTGCAAAATTCACAAAATTTTAGGCAGATTTGGCAGAGTTTTGTCTATTTATAACTTTTATCAGATGGGGATTGTGCCAGTCTCGGCAGTTACAATTACTGAAGTAGACCCCAAAAGAGAAGTACATTTTTAACTTATCACAGTTCATTTACCACAACACTGATGTCTGCCATAGATGGGAACTTGGGAATGTATCATAGTTTTGATTTTTCTCACAACTGCCCCCAGTGTACTTTCAGATTTCTGTCTCTGTACCTTCACAAAAACATTCTTGTTCCATTTTTAGCTTCCCTCCCCACATGGTGAGGTTGGTTTCTTGGTGAGATGTTGTGGCTGGATATAGAGGTTCTGAAAAGGAACAGCTAGAAAGATAAGGCAGCAGCAGGAACCTCCCATCATCTCCTCCAGATGTGCAAGACACGTGACAAATTTCAGGACAAGTGGCTGTGAACAGCCGAAGACAAGACTGCTATGGTAAACAGGTAATTAACTTAACTTCTTGCAGGTAGTACACAGAATGAGCAATTGGCTTTGTTTCACAGTAAACAATATGTAAATTGTCTATTCTCCTTCCTTTGTGTAGAATCAAACACAAAATATCACATTTTTGCATTAAAGTCAGTTTTTTTTTTTTTTTTTTTAAATGTGGCAAGAAAAGCATTTATTGCTCTTATTGTATGTTGCATGTATTCCCATGGTTTTAAAGTAATGAGTCATAAGTATTCTTTTGTCAGCACCTCTTTTGTTAACAATTTATTTATTCTAAACTGATCTATCTTTTCTTCACAAACTTGTATTAAAATATTGTTCATGCATGTGCATTTTACTCTGTAGAACACATTCTTTGGCTGGCTGATGTCCTGGGAGGGAGACATAGATGGTCTTTCCAAAGAACAGAGAAACAGACATAGAGTTCAAGCAGGGAGACAGTGGGCTGGAGAATTTCAGGTGGTGAATATAACTGATTGTTTTTTTTTTTTTAATTTTTTTTTTCTTTTCACATGTGAATTATAATGGCCCTTCCAAGTGGTTACTTCTACATAAGAACAGTATTTAGGTTTGTTTAAACTATGGTGATACAAAAATGATCTTAATGTTGCATGCATTTTGCAGAACAATTCTGATTAAAATGAGTTTGCCCTAAAACAAGTGTAGAATACTTTTACATTATCATATGCGCATTGCAAACTGTAATACCCATTTCATTTATATTTTAGCAAATGCATTTCTCTGGAATTATGTGACGAGCTGCTGGCAGACCAAGAGGTCTGTTTTATACTGAGTGAGAGAGAGAGAGAGAGCTGCCAAAACCATCCAGAACAAGACTTCCAAACACGGCAGATCCAGTGGAGCCAGTTATATGGAACAGTACAATTGCACAACAAGTTCCAGGTAACACAAAGTATCAATTTCCCCCATATGCATGGAAACTATAGAGGCAAGGTGTGCAGCAAGCTAGGAAATCCTGTTGGACAATACCCTATCACTGAAGACAAATACACATAATGGAAATGTTAAAAGTGAGTTGATATTTCAGCTTAGTTGTGATGTGTTATAATAATTTTGTCCACATGCATGAAATCTGTTACAGTAGTAGTAGAAGCAGCATATATACAGTGAGATTCTGGTAGACGGAGAAAAAAAGACAACAGTGAAAAAAATTTTTAAATGTGAATATATATTTCAGCTCAGTTTTGATGTGTTATAATAATGTTCCCCACATGCATGGAAACTGTTACAGTATTAGTAGAGGTAGCATATTNACTTGAATATTGGTACTAGTTTTACAGACTTTACGGAAGGCCAAAAAAATCTGTCAGACATTCGGTCTGCCAAGCTTGAAAATTCTGTCAGACTGAAACAAAATCTGTCAGACCGAAGTTAAATAATAGAAATATAAACCATTATACATGTTTTCATGTGTATTTTCTAACGTTTTAAATAATTGACATTAAATCAAATATTAAATTTTTGATATATTTTTATTTGTAAAAAAAGTAAAATAAGAAAAAAAAAAACAGAATAAAAATTACTTGCATAACAAGTTTTTTTATTTAATGAAAAAGGCATTGTGGAATGACACAAGGACTAAAAACAATACAAGTATGAAGAATGTGTAGCTAGTAATATCAAATGTATGTCCATAAAAACGTCCGTTAATCAGATAACCATTTCACACGTTGTTTTTGGCAATATTTGCATTTTGAAACAGCACAGTAAGGCGGTCGCTTTCATTCAATTGAAGCTTTAACAGGGACTGTCCAGCCCGAGTCTAAGTCCCTTCTTCACTTTATTTCTTTTTTTTTTTTTTATTAAAAGAAACTCAAACTGTGAGCTTTTCTCAAGTTCATGTGCACTTTCTCCAACTCGTGGTGAACGGTACATGCAAATACGTACATATGTTCCATAATTTAAGAACCCGAAATAAAGCTGTAATATTTATGTTGCTATTGATCAAAATGATAACTTTAGTACTCCTGACACTTGGCTCACACTATTTTCCTCTCCTACAGATCGTAAGTCCGCCAGGGCCTACCTTCTTTCCAATTTAAGTAAACTTCCGTTTCTCTTCCTCACTTCGTTTTCATTTTTGCCACGCTTTGCACCAACGAAGTGTTTATAGTTCAACAAAGTTATTTTCTAAACAAAAGGCTTATCCATGAGTACTGTGTACGACTAATAATGAAGAAACAGAGGATCAAGTCTTTAAAAACGCAAATAGCACGAGCACATGTGTTGCGGCCATTTTTAGGAGTATTACAAAAACGAAAACGAGACTGTGCATTACATCATCCAGGAATCCCCCAACCTCAGCCAGTCACAAAATAGTATTTGTGAGTGAAACTGAGGTTAATAAATTATGTATAATAAGCTGGGAACTCCCCGAGATTTTTACCCTGTCTCTATTTTCGAATGAAGCAAAATATATCGTCCAGAAAAGAAACAACAACGTATTCCTTATATTTACACATTTCCAGTCAGTTTGAAAACTGGCCGGACATAAGGTCCGACGATACAGGATTTTTTATCGGACAAAGACGAAATTTGCCAGGCATGTCCGACGGTCCGACGCCTTTCGTAAAGTCTGGTTTTACTTTAACTGGCGATGTAGAATCTTCTGGCAGATAAAGTAAAGCTACATCCCACCTGCTTTCATTGTAATGTTCTGTGAATCACTGTTGACCAGAGAATTCAAGATATAAATATATTAGATTCTGGTCATCAGTGGCCAAGTGGTTGAATGTCTTGCTTAGTGAATGTTTATCTTTTTTCTAGCTCACATACGGTTCTGACAGTGTCATGGGTCTCAGTAGTGGCCTGCTTGATGTGGTCAGTTTGGGATGGTACGTATTGGACCCAAGGTGGAGCAGTGGTCATTACTTCCCTTGGGGCACCCATCACATGACATTAAGGGGACTTTTTACAGGTAATACACAAAGATTGCAGTTGATCTTGTTTTACAAGTCATGTTTTTGGTATTGTTCTATAAGTGACAAAAGGTAACTGGTCTCTCTCTCCCTCTCTCTCTCTCTCTCTCTCTCTCTCTCTCTCTCTCAGCAAACACCAATTAACACATTTTGTGTTTCCTTTGGGTTTCAATAATATTTGTAATAATTCAGAATTTAAACAGGTACTTTCCCTCTCCTCTCACATTTCTCCTCACAAAAATACATTTCAACTGGTTACAGCCAACTGATATCCTTATACCATATTTTTCCAGATGTTAGGCAATTTGTGTGCAAAATTCACAAAAGTTTAGGCAGATTTGGCAGAGTTTTGTCTATTTAACTTTTATCAGATGGGGATTGTGCCAGTCTCAGCAGTTACAATTACTGAAGTAGACCCCAAAAGAGAAGTACATTTTTAACTTATCACAGTTCATTTACCACAACACTGATGTCTGCCATAGATGAGAACTTGGGAATGTATCATAGTTTTGATTTTTCTCACAACTGCCTCTAGTGTACTTTCAGATTTCTGTCTCTGTACCTTCACAAAAACATTCTTGTTCCATTTTTAGCTTCCCTCCCCATATGGTGAGGTTGGTTTCTTGGTGAGATGTTGTGGCTGGATATAGAGGTTCTGAAAGGGAACAGCTAGAAAGATAAGGCAGCAGCAGGAACCTCCCATCATCTCCCCCAGATGTGCAAGACACGTGACAAATTTCAGGACAAGTGGCTATGAACAGCCGAAGACAAGACTGCTATGGTAAACAGGTAATTAACTTAACTTCTTGCTGGTAGTACACAAAATGAGCAGTAAACAATATGTAAATTGTCTATTCTCCTTCCTTTGTGTAGAATCAAACAAAATATCACATTTTTGTATTAAAGTGAGTGTTTTGTTTTTATTTTTTTAATGTGGCAAGAAAAGCATTTGTTGCTCTTATTGTATGTTGCATGTACTCCTGTGGTTTTATAGTAATTAGTCATAAGTATTCTTTTGTCAATACCTCTTTTGTTAACAATTTAGTTATTTTAAACTGATCTATATTTTCTTCACAAACTTGTATTAAAATATTGTTCATGCATGTGCATTTTACTCTGTAGAACACATTCTTTGACTGGCTGACATCCTGGGAGGAAGAAAAAGCTGGTATTTCCAAAGAACAAAGAAACAGACTTAATTCAAGCAGGGAGACATTGGAGGGCTGGAGAGTTACAGGTTGTGAACATAACTGATTTTTTTTTTCCACATTTGAATTATAGTTGCCTTTCCAAGTGGTTCCTTTTACATAAGAACAGTATCAAGGTATGTTTAAACTATGGTGATACAAAATGATCTTAATGTTGCATGCATTTTGCAGAACAATTCTGATTAAAAGGAGTTTGCCCTAAAACAAGTGTAGAATACTTTTACATTATCATATGCGCATTGCAAACTGTAACACCCATTTCATTTATATTTTAGCAAATACATTTCTCTGGAATTATGTGACGAGCTGCTGGCAGACCAAGAGGTTGTTTTATACTGAGTGAGAGAGAGAGAGCTGCCAAAACCATCCAGAACAAGACTTCCAAACACGGCAGATCCAGTGGAGCCAGTTATATGGAACAGTACAATTGCACAACAAATTCCAGGTAACACAAAGTATCAATATCCCCCATATGCATGGAAACTATAGGTGCAGGGTATGCAGCAAGCTAGGGAATCCTGTTGGACAATACCCTATCACTGAAGACAAATACACATAATGGAAATGTTAAAAGTGAATTGATATTTCAGCTTAGTTGTGATGTGTTATAATAATTTTGTCCACATGCATGAAATCTGTTACAGTAGTAGTAGAAGCAGCATATATACAGTGAGATTCTGGTAGACAGAGAAAAAAAGACAACAGTGAAAAAAATTTTTAAATGTGAATATATATTTCAGCTCAGTTTTGATGTGTTATAATAATGTTCCCCACATGCATGGAAACTGTTACAGTATTAGTAGAGGTAGCATATTCAGTGAGATTGTGGTAGACAGTACGTCATCAGTGACACATCACTGAAGACATATGGGGAAAATGTTTATATGTGAATATATATTTAAGTGCAGAAATGATGTTGTAGATATCTCTGTTATTATTAGGTCATAGTTGAAGATAGAAAATTCACATATTTATTATATACAGACACTTTCAGTCTGTCTATATTCTTATCACTGTGTCTGTCCAGTGGATCACCATATATTTAGCACTTTGTGACAATCTGTTGTTTACTTTAGAACTGATAAACTGTATTTTGTTTAAATTTGAATTCACCGAGTGGCTTTGGTTAAAGGGAGGTTTCTTTCAGAAATCCATGTCACTGGTTCATAAAAAAGATTTCATGCATTTTGTTGACATTACCCTAAAAGTGCCACAAAGTATCTTTGTTTTACTTGAAATTTAGTCAGTGACTTTGTACTTAAATAAGGCTGGTACCTTACTTTCAGTAATCGGCAATTGGAATATTTTTTGATGTTGTTTACTGGAAATGCTGCCACAGTATGTACCCAGTGTATCAAAGTAAAGTAGCAATATAGAAATATTTTTGTGAATTTATAAGATTGTTACAAGTTCAGTATACGGAAGAATGTTTGACCACCTTGTTAGCTTGCAGTCATTTGTTTCACAAGTCTGAAGGTCCATGATTTAGTTTGAGGGTTTTGGTAATCCAAAAGTAAGAGTAGTATGTAATGTAATACAACAATAATGAGAGTCATAGAAGGCGTTAATGTTTTTAATGATTGATCATTACTCCATAATGCCCTGGCTTTGGAGTGGCATTTCTTGGTAGATAAAAGGATAATAAAATGGCAGATCATATCTCTGAACCTAGTTTCCTGCCCATAGCAAATCAGGGATTGAAATGGGAAATCTGGAGCACTGGTCCATACTCATTGACAATAGTACTGATCAGCATATATGCATAAAA